AACGTGAAAAACTTTCGTTGGACGAATTTTCTTGTAAACTTCATATTTACTGAGATATCGCACTTTGACGCACTAATGAGCAACCCTGTATATCATCACTATTTCTACTATAATCATCATTCTGCATTTTCAATGAAAAATTTAAAAAGTAACAGGTTTGTTTTGGAACTCTTTGAAACCTATTACCAAGATAAAACTGGAACGTTGTAACCCGTTACAGAAAAATAACCGTTTATCACACCTTTAATTCCGAGCCCTAGTGACTGTTTGACAAGGACAATGAATTAATTGTAGGATATAGTGGAGGTCCGGACTACAAGCAAGACTACACAATATGGTACCGAGAGTCTGGCGTGACTGATTGGTCAACAATTCCTGTAACACCCTCTGGAAGTACGCAGGTGACGATCAATAGATTGGCACCTGGAAGCACCTACGAGTTCCAAGTTGTTGGGAAAAACTCCCTGGGGGAGGGCATGATGAGCAAGATTTTCACGATAAGAACTTTAGGTAAGACTAGTGGATTAAATGTGGCCTCTGTTTTCAAGCAGGGAGGAATTTGATGTCGCGTCAATATAATTTAACTTGAGATTTGGTCTTGCTTACACGAGAAGACGTCACCCTGCCAGTCCAGAATACTCCAGCTCCGATCCAGCCGGCTGTTGCGAATAACGGAAATCCGGGTAAGGCTTTCGCTAACAATTCCCAACACGATAATATAAGTTATGTGAACTGTTCAAGCGACAATGCTGCAAACTTTTACTCTATGAATCGAAAACAAAGGACTCTGCAGACATTGAATTGTCGATAAAGTCTTGAGTGCTTCAACTACGCAAAGGTGCTTTGTCAGTTTGTGTATTAATTAACGTTCAAGATTGATGGATTTTGAACAAACAACGCGAACTTTTAGCGTCTAAGAATTCTCAAATGGGTTAAAAACTCGAGTTTTTTAATAAATATGATGATATATAACAGGCCCCACAGCTGGTTCTCCGAGGAATTTGACGGTAACCGAAGTGGACCACGGTTTCCTCATCACCTGGATGCCACCTCTTGAGCGATCATTCGATATTCATCATTACGAAATTAAATACAGAACAGATGGGCCTTGGAAAACGCTAAACAAGGCCCAGATTAGGCCTGAAGACACTCATTATTTAGGTATGAAATTTACTTTTGTGGGCAAAATTAACTGTTGATGATTTTTAAACTGGGGTAATGAAGGACTATTTCCAGTTTCTTAAAATTAGAGCTTTCGTCCGAAACTATTCGGTATGTTTTTGTTTCAGTGAAAAACTTGGTAGGCGGAAGGACTTACTATTTTCGCATATTCGCTCATGCTGGCGATAACTACGAAGCTAGTGAGGAAGTTAAATTTTCAGTGCCTGCACGTGTTAAGCATAAGGTAAATACACAATTTGAACGCAAACATTCCAGTCAAACACCCCTTTTGTAAAGGTTATTGTTGTTTTATCTGATGCTTGCCAAACATATTTCTAGGCTATCACGGCTGGAGTGGTAGGAGGATTTCTGTTCTTTGTAGTGGCAATTATTCTGTCCGTGTGTGCCGTTAAAATATGCAATAAGAGAAAAAGGCGGAAACAAGAAAAAGGTAAGTGAATATCGCGTTTGGTTCTCTTAGTTCTCCTTTTAACGCAACTGTGAAACTGAATAAGTGAAATTGGACGAAGGTATGAAAGAAACATTCGTGAAAATTTAGTGAGGGGTCAAAAGTAACTTCCATTTTTTGCAGTCTTCAATTTTAAAGTCTTTTATTAACTTATATTAGGAAAAATTGATCAATAAACCGAAAATGTTAATATTGTCGCTTGAGCTGAAACAGGCATTTAGAATCACAAATTTCATGATAAATTTTGCATCATTGTGAATAATAGCGTCACTATTCTCTGGCCGATTTAAATGGTCGCACTGCCCTTCAATTGAGCATTTCAAGTAGTTCTTTATCGGATTTCCAGGTGATGTTAAATTAAGTGATTGGCTTTTATCTCCGTTGTTTTCCAATCAAATTTAAAAGTTTAAATGGCGTTGAAAAAGGAATATTTCCGAGCACATTGCAGGTCCTGGAATATTGTTATTATATAGGGTGTCCCGCAAATGACCAAAAGAGTACTACATTCTTTGGCCGATCTTTTATTAGTGCGCTTTATATTTTTTAATCGAAAATGATGCTTTGTATAAAGGAAACTCAAGAGAGCTTTCTTGGTTGGCATTAAACAAGCAATGCAATGGATACATTGGTTTTTTGATGAAACACTGGGGACCATTTTTTCCCCAAAAATATTGTCGTATGTAAAATTGCATTAAAATAACTCACGTGGTTGCGGATATTTTAATAAATGTTTATGTTCTCTGCTTCAACTTCGATGCCCTTAAGGATTCTTATTATTATAACTTTTCCGTGTTAAAGTGTACATTTATAAATGTCTGCAAAATTCGACATCGACGTTACTTAGTGCCGCAGCCCCAACATAACATTAGATTAAGCCCCATTTTCCACAGATATTACAACTAACACGTTGTTTTCTTGTTTCAAACCGTAAGCGCTCTCTAAAATGTATGTATTCTATAGGTAAAGCTTATCGATTGCTATTTATAGCTTGTTAAATCATTTCCTGAAAAGTTCATTTCAACTACCATATTTTGGCTTTCAGAGTGTCCGCTCGTTCCGATTCGGCGACTGTTGCTCGTCCTGATTCGAACAAAGCTTTGCCAATCAGTCATTGTTCAAACTTGCACAAACACTTTGCATATACGACCTCATTTCATATTGTACCATATCGATTGGTACACCATCACTGATTGATTTGTAGGTTTACACAGCTATCGTTTGGAGCTAAACTAGTAAAACAGCGCGCCGAAGAGATGCAGCAACGCGTGAACAAGTTGCATCGATTCGACGCGCCGACGGTGCTTCATTTACTGTTCTTGTCTGCAATAGTGGATCGAATTCAAATGATTTCTAGACGGCTTTTGGGGGAAACATACAAGCTTCGTTTTGGTGTAGCAGGAGAATTTTCAAAATTCACTCTACTGAGGGAAACTTCCTGTTAACACCAGAAAGTTTGTAGGTGCCCGTAACACTTGCACATGTTTTCCACTTCCAACCAACACTTTTATTAAATCTTTCACGCGGAAAATGCAGTGACCAACCAAGAACAAGGAAAAAGTCCTTTTTCTTGCGCGGACGTTGTGAGGTCCCATCGGCTAATAATGTACATTTTTGCAGCATACAACATGGTAGCGTGTAGGATTTCCGATGCTAGGAACGGGAGTGGAGCCACCGAAAGTCAAGTGCCTTTGAAAAAGTAAGTTTCCTTAATTTCTGCCCATCATCAGAATAACCATCCTCGTAGACTAACATGATTTTTCAAATCTGCTGTCCTAAACTATCAGTTAAAGGTGGCAGAATTTTCAATTATTTTTCCATTCAAGCCAATTTTGCCCTAAAAATAGGGCCACTTGTGTTTCAAATTTCATCTAACTTCTCGAGGGAAAAAGTTGAAAATTTTAAGCTTTTTAGCACTTGCTAGGCAGTACTCCAGGTATTGGGTGGGTTTAGTCAGTAGGCAATGAGCTAAAAAATGTACGTAGCCCAAATTCACTTAATCACATAATAAGGTACATCCGTATACCATATTTCAAACACTTAATTGCATAATGAAACGCGTAGCATTTGAGTCGATGCATACATTCAATGTGAATTGCGTTTGGATTAGTTCTTTCAGGTTTAACTGAACGAAACTGAACCGTTTCCTCTATGATTTATTTCAGCAAGTCTCAGTAAACGCACATTCAATAACTGAACAGTTTTGGCTAGGAAATAGGTAAAAAAAATCCGCTTAGATTAAAATTTAAAATTTAATTAAACGTCTTAATTTTGGTTAAGTTCCTTACCAAACTAGTGAAAAAAGATACACCTTACTGTCCATTTATTTCGAATCAAATTTTTGTCCATTTAAAATTTTAAGGTTTGCAGATTATTCAAAAGCGATGTGGACATTTTTTAGTTCAATCCTCCAATGTCTCGACAGCTATTAATAGATTTTAGTATAGTTTTAGCAGTTTGTCGTAAACCATAAATTTTGAATTTTTGAAGTAGGTTTATATCAATTTCTTAAAGCTTACAAATCGTTTAATTTGAGTATTTGGCCTCACAATTTAGGGCTCAAAATAAACAAGAACGTGAAGGTAAATATGTTGAAAGTACCTATTAGATTATTAATAGGGAAAAGGGCATTGAAATAAAATAACTATGCATTTATCTCAACACAAGCAGAACGTATTTTATTATGTTGTTGATACAACGAGTTCTTTAAGGCTCTCTTATTAGACTAAAATTCATCGGTGTAATTCGGTTGAGCTTAACCATTTATGCTTAGATCAGCGACTCAAAATTACGAGTCGAATTCTCTGAATATAAACATAGATTATGGCTTTTCTCCTTTTTGCTGACAAATAGGAATGATAACATTTATGTGGTATTTCCAATAGTACCTATAAATTTTGCGGCAAAATATCCAAATAAACGAAGCTTATCTTACTTGGTTACCTGCTTAAACAGTCTCAACCATGTGGAACTTAGCTCCATCATTTTAACATTTTTGTTTCGAACAGCGGGAGAAAAACCCTAATAGATTAACCCATAAAAAAATGAAAATTAAAAAAAAATAAATACATATGTTTCCACACCTGTATGCCTCAAAATGCCACATTCAACTAATATTCTTACATAAAAAAATGCGATAAAGTTTCTGGTTAATTATTTTATTATTTTCGTTCATGTAAATTAATCCAGACTATTTCCTTTGGTGTCAAATTTTACCTTCTATACGCTACATCAATTGAAGCACAAAATTCACATAAATTTGCGTAAATTTCGAACTCGAAAAGTTGAAACTGTTCCGAAGCATTCGGGGCAGCTGCACGTATTGTTCGCTAACGTTCTTCAATGTTCGCTGTTGAATGTGAATCTACTGTTTCTTGTGCACCATTTCCAAAAATGTTTGAAATGTGGTATACCGTAACCAGGTTTTTCTTTTCGAACGTTATAACTAGTTTTTACTTGTAGGACGGTTGAGTCCGAGTCTTACCGTGATTACGAGAGCGTGTTTATAATTCCCGGGACAAGCGTTGACACGAACCGTAAGCTGCACTTTTATAGATCTCGTTAGTGCCTGCGATAACGCTAAAATCTCCATTAAGTTCACTAAATACTACACAACAATTGATTTGCTTTGATATTTATTATTGGTAATTTTTTTTTCGTATGTGTTTACAAAATATCGAACTCTCACTGGTTGGTTTTTTCCTGTATCTTTCAGCACTAACATTGAAATCCTTTTTTAACTCTCCGTCTCCATTATTTGTTCAATTGATTCACTTAGTTTGTATTGCTTTGATTTATAACTGAATTTCCATGTGTTATCGCAACTTATGGCGAGGTTCTTTAGAGATACGTAGAGTCACAAAATATTGTTGTTCAGTTGATCTCTTAGTTAACGAAACTATTATTATTTGGGTTTTGGGCCTTTTTCGCATCACATTTAACTAGCTGGCAATAACCGTGTCATGGATGAGAATATAATTAGTAACAAAAAAAATGTAATTCTGGGGACTAGAAATGATGTAAAACTATTAAATCTTCTCATAGTTTGTCAAAATTTTGATTTTCCGTTGTTAAGATTGATTGACAATAAAATGCAAAAATCTTTAAACATTCTTATTCTTAAAATTGAACTGAACGCAACATATATTCTGTGACTTTGGTGTGCTTCATTTGTTCCTGGAATGTATAGATCAGACCTTAGAGTCTGTACTTTATGTGTTCTGTGCATCTAGTTCATTATTGTCATTTACCTGTAATACGCGTTGAGTTATGTTGTATTTTCACTAAATTCAATCAATAATCACGAGGGCAAACGGAGGTTCCAGCACAGTCACCCCATTTAATGGGGGCTGGCCTGGTAAATAATTCACCGGTTTATCGATTAAAGCCGCTGATGGCATGGTTTATTAATATTGAATGATTTTCCGATATCGTCGGGAGAATCGTTCCAGAGCCTAATTATGTCTGTTGGAGCCTCGGTAAAGGCCGAGAAGATGCAAGTTTTTTCAACTCCAATATTTCACTCTTCTCAGACACTTCTCCATTTCACTATTTGTCGCACTATAAACTTAACTAAACGCGTGTTATGTTGCATCAACCATCATCAGTTTCTGATCGGTCTCGTGTGATTCTTGCCGCCGCCCGTCTGGACCGCCCAGGAGGAAATCAGGTGAAGGATTGCAACCCAGCCGCCACTGAGAGCACTCAACACTCAAGCACATGTATTAGCTCTATTTCTATTTGATTCTTGCACTCGTTTTTTATTGATGATGCTGTTGCTGGCACTCGTTTTCTTATGGTAATTTCATCACGTCAACCCTTCAACTATCCGCTGAGTCCATTCCTGTCTCCTCACTTTTTTTAGTCTATTTTGTTTGTCTTAAATAATTGCACAGGAATGTAAGTAAAGCCCAGACAATTTTTTTTTTAATTTCCTTATACTCAAGGACTAGTGAGTGAGGAAAGTAAACGGGTAAAGTGAAGTATAAAAGTATTGCTGATATTTCAGTTCCTGGCTTATTATATTCAAAATTTCGGGTTGATTTATGTAGAAACTCGACTGGAAAAATTTTAGTGATTTCTTTTACCTCTATCGATGTCATTAAAATTATACAGAATATGTTTTAAAACTATCGTGTACACAATTCAAAAGTAAAAGCGTTTTGCTAATAAAACCGGTTCCTGCTTCAAAACTAAGGCCGTTGAAACAGGAATCGGCGATTTTTAAAGCAAAAAAATGTATTTTATCGAAAAATTACCAAATAACGAACTACTTATTTAAGGAAATCAACCTTCAAGGAAAAGTTTGACTTTTTATTTTGATAGATTTTAATTTTTAGGTCAAAATTTGTACTTGTTTATACAGGGTGTTTGAAAGCGCCAACATTTTTTAAGCAATTTTTTAGGTCATGGCTTGTAAACTAGGCATGGGTAACACAGGAGTTGGCACAGTGTTGCCGAAATGGCTTGTTGCGCCACTCCAACGCACCGGCGCAATGACTCACCGGTGCAGTTGCGTTACAATCATCCATTTGATAAAATGTTGCTCCTAAAAATTGTGGTATTTTGTTTAATCCGCCCCTGGGTTGATTGATAAGCACAATTAAAAGTGTGGCACAGTAAGACGCGATGAGTTATAACGAAAATCTCAGAAACGAAAAATACTCCTCAAGTTCAGAGTTGTGCGTTCAGCAAACAAGAGTGCGCTATAAATGCCGTCAGAATTTCGAACTTCAGTCATGGTTTTTTTTTGTATTTGAAAAACTGTTGGTCCCACACATTTTGCATAACGTGTTTCGAAAATAAATTTCTCAAAAACAAAAAACAAGTTCAGAGTTGTACGTGTAATAAAGAAAAATGCGCTCTAAATGTCGTCAAAATTCGTTCAAAAGTTCAATCAAATCGCATGAAATCGTGAATTTTGCGCGCTTCGTAAATGTTGATTTGAAAATGAACGCTTTTACGCAACATACTTTTCAATAAAAATTCTAACCAACCGAAGCCAGTGGAAACTTGAAAGAGTGGCACTAAGTAGAAGACGGTTTTTAATTAAATGAAATGTTGGCGTAAAAGCGCACCTAAATGTCTGATATTGAAATTTCCTGTGACTTTTTGCGACAAATCTACCAAGTTTATAAGATAACTAAATCGAGTTACCAATTCTCTACCCAATGATATAAAAAGAAACTCTGTGGCTCAAATGGTTCTTGAGCAACTGTAAAAAAGGTGGCGTCATGTTTCAGTCGATTTCGTAATTTAAAAAAAACAAAGCCGCTCAAAATATTCCCAAAGTTTAAAAATTTCTTGTGAAGGAATCAATGGTTTAATGGGAACCAAATCCGCACAATCAGTAAGCTAATACTGGTTGTTTTGAATACTGGAACCCAAATTTCCATACCTGAAGCGGTTCTTTAGCGAAAACCTTCAGTTGAGCATAATATAAAAATACAAAGCCGCCCAAAATATTCTTATGGTTCAAAAATTAACTACGAAAGAACCAATTGATACCAAATCCATCTTATGAGTCCGTTGATGAATATGGGACTAAAAGTTCTACATGTACATGACAACCAGACGAGATAATGCTAAGCTTACCGAAAGCTGCGTAGTATCACCTGGAAAGAAAGAGGAAAATGTGTTTAGTACAGCAGGAAATCTCTCCAAAGCTAAACTTATTTGAAATCAGCAAAGCAAAGAGAAGGAAATATAAAGAATCCAAAAAACTTCAGTTGTTTATCGGAAAGCTAAACTCAGTTCAAGCTAAAAGATTTGTAGATTAGAGATCATTCTTATCAGCTTTCTGCAAGCGGCGCCCTATCCTCCATTTTCTACCTATCAATCCTCCAAAAGTTCACTGCACAGAAACTACCGCACTTGTCATAAGGGCCACAATGTTTCCATCTAAGAACGCAATTTACACGACACAAAGGATTATCGACCGAATTCGGCCACTGTCGGTAGTAAACAGATAAATATTCATTTCATAGACCTTTTCAAGAGACAAAGACTCCGACTATAGAATAAACATGACTATTTAGTCATTTAGTTATTCGTCCTTTCGATGATTCATGCTTTACTTGGCAGTTCGGTTTCAGTTTGTTTATTGCTCGTATTTTTGTAAGAAGTGCCTGTTCGCACGGCAAATTTCACGTTCCAACTTAACGTAAGACAATAACAACTAAACAAAAACGCTCCGAGCGCCGAATTTTCACTAAATTAATTTTAAATTGAGAGGCGTTTATATTTGTGTGGACACAACGCCAAATTTAAAATTAATAACCCAATTAATTTTGTTTTTCTAAAAATATTGACCAAACAAAAAAAACCACGAAGAAACCACTTAAAAATAAAATTGTTGCTCAATTTCCGAGCGATGATAGAAACCATCAAACTTTCAATTAATTAAAAATGTCCTTTAAAAGTGCTGATTTCTAGGATTATTTCGCCACCCGCGCAGTGATGCGCGATGAATTATAACTCGCCAACTCACAGAGCGGCATCAACTGAAAAGCGCAACTCAACACAGTGTTACCCAGGCCTATTATAAACTGTGGTTGGAAAACCAAATTAATTCCCAAACTTTTTTTGAGAAAATATAGTAAAGCAACTAAATATACAACTTTTATCTCCCTTAAATTTTCGTTGCTTTTAACATGGATTCTAAATAAAAAATGAAAAGACTGGTAAATGTAGTGAAGAGAAAAATGATAGCTCAAACTGCTAAATATTTTTTTGTATAATACATACAACATGATAGCATACCAAAAATGGCTTGCATTTTTTCTCTCACAAACACACCAAAACGGATAAGTTGAAAATTCAAGAGGCACAATTCGCAGCCTGGTCAATTAAGAAAAAGTCAAAGATTTTTAAATGGGTTTTTGAAAACCATAATTTCCATAATTTAAAAATCATGTACCCCATAGAGGGTGCATCTTGGAAATTAAGCATTTCCCGACCTGTTTATAGAAACTTTTTTTATGCAATGACCTCAGAAAATCACCATCTTAAATATTACGGCGTCTCTTCTAAACACCTTGTATGTGTACAAATAACAGTACTTTTACTCAAATTATACCAAGAACGCATTTGGCAACAAAAATTAAAACATTCTTTCCATTTGCAACTCAATCTCTTCAGATATTGTTAGGTTGTTCCTCCTTAAACCCTTGGTAGCCTGATCCCGAAAAATCTCGCACTAACTGGTAGAGAAACGATCATTCTACGTGAACATTCACTCGAACCGTATGTTCAAAATCCTTTAACATGACAAAGGGATGATCCACTGTAAATCGAGGCAAATCTTGTTTTTTGTTCATTGTTACTGCGATGTTTTTTCACAGCTTTACCACTTAAGTGTGTCATTGTAGCTTAATATCTACAGGGTGGCCCCTTTAGCAGCAAGAAATTAACAGTTTTGTTTCTGGTGCATGCGATGATCACATTAATTGCGCTTTTTAAGTAAGATTAATTACGTATTTTCATGATCTGTTAAAAGTCGACAGTTTGAGTGAGGAAGAGAATTCCTATCCAGATCCAGAAGTTTTGAAAAACATCCGAAGATGATTGCCTGTATAGGGTGGTCCTGAACTAATGTGGCAAAATTCACTGACTACAATTTCTGTTCTGAAAGTTAATAGTTTACGAGATACAGGATGCCATAAACATTTGTGTTTGGGAGTTTTTCAGATCGGCAAATCCAAATTTCCAGGCAAATTGGCATAAAACGCAATATTTTTGTCATGACTCTTGCCAGTGAATTTTGTCACAACAGTTGAGGATTGCTCTGTAGAAACGTTCTTACCGGGTTTCCCAAACGTACGGTTTGAAAGTCAAAAAACTGATTTAAACATGTGTTTCAATGTTAAGAATAACGAACGTTGTTGAAGTTGAGCATAAACTGATAACAATAAATAATGTGGTGTAACTTAAAGCTCCTATATGAAAGTGTGGTTGCTTCTTCTCATGCGGAATGTTCTCGATTTATTCACAGCCTTGAAAGCCATTCCAAATTTTTTATTACAAATTTGACTTCTGCTACAAAAAACACGTAGAATTTGTGGCACATTGAGTTGAGACATTAATGTGGGTCCCCCTACTGATTACAGAAGAAGTTTCCAACAATGTTTCTATCCTGAGATAGAGTCTCTGCAAGTTTTAAAAATGTCATTGTATATGACAAATTGGAAAAATCAAAGAGGCTCAATTTGGGCACCAGTTCACTATGAGCAACCTTACACTTACACTGTTTTATTCTGGAATCGCAGTTCAGAACGCTCCTAAACGGGTCATCCTGTACCAGAATTTCTAGCGTTAACTGCATGCAAATACGTCTGTTGATGTGTGCATGAAAATGTTTTGTTTCGTCATAAAAAAATTCTGGAAATGCGCTTTTCCCCAACCACTCGTGTTGCCCAATCACTCCCCCAACAAGCCCTGTGCCATGACTTACCAATCGAACACTAACACTGTCGTTTCTGGAAATCTAGACTTAGAAAAGGCAGAATACCAGGTTTAAGCATCGTAGCCTTCATCGTGAACTGGATTTGGCCGCGGGACCGCTGCAGATCCGGCAGCATTTCCAGCCTAACCTGGCACCCGGACTACATCCATCCTGGCTCGCCCAGCAAGTCACTCGGCCGAATCTCCAGAGCGGCTGATGGTAGGTTTGTGCTAGTAAACCCCCACGATTTTCGGCCGCCCGGAACTCCTTCCAACGCTTCAAGTAGCGATGATGGCGGCTTTCTGCCCAGCCGAAGAGGAGTTCTGAATCGGGCCTCGTGGCGGCGACCTTTAGTGGGTTACCCCAGCCAGTTGAGCCTCCGTTCTGATGCCTCTGGCCAGTCGGCCGCTCACATGGCTTACATCATCGAAACCCCACGTCGAGTTCATCCCACCTTGCAATTGGTGCCCACCTTCTACAGTCCGCAAACGCCGAGAATCCAGAGCAGCTCCCCGGCAAACTCCAGTGGACTGTTGCTATCCCCTTGGACTCCCATGTACTTTAGTGACTTGAGTTCGGTTAGGTATCCGAGTTCCGGTGAACGGTCGTTTCCAACTCCACCTGGGTTCATGCAACTTAGATCGGTGCATGAGCGGTACTCGCAAGAATTGCCGCCGCTGCGCGCTATCCATGAAGAGCATCAAGGCTTTGTGCCGGTGCAGCCTTTACTAGATAGTCCAAGGCCTATCACAATGCGGCCGCGGACTAGCAGACTGTTAACTCCGCGACATGCGCGTCTAGCTCGGAGTGCTCCTGAACTGGACCATTTGGACCGATCGCCGGAAAGCCGATCCAGCTCCAGTGGATTTGGAAGCAAGAATGCTTCCTCCCAACAGAATCAAAGCTCGCATAGCGGCAGCAGCTTTATGGACTGGCGGCTGCCTCCGTACCGACCGCCTCCGCCACCTCCGCAGCTTCCACCGCCTCCTCCTTTAATGAGGCACTGGCTAGAGTTGGCTTCCAGCAGTCCTTCCGCCTCCGATCATTTGCACAAAGCTGTGGATGTGGGCAGTGTGGATGGACATTATGAGTTTGATCCCAGCACTCCCACTCCCACACCTTCGACTCCGACCGGTTCTCGAGACGTGGATGTAGTGGACGCCGGTCCAGGCCAACCACAACGCAAGAGCTTTCCTCTCAGATGCCGCTATGATAATATCGATGCTCGAGTGCAAGCGATGAAGGAGGAGTTCAACGAATTTAGGAAGAGGCAGGCGAACAGGCGGAAAAGCTATGAGCTTGAAAGCGCCTGTTGACACATTTTCGGTTGTGTTCTACCCACTTGAGGATCTTCTGAGGCACAGACTGCAAATTCAACTTCCTCGTTTTGAGGAGGCTGGTGATTATTTTAGGTTCTGCCACAGTTGGACAAGTAGATACAATAATTCAGATTACAGTAGAAATGTGAAACAGTGCTGGCCCTGAAGCTGTTTAGTTGCGGCTTCTTCACTTTTTCACTCACTAATATTAGAATAAATACAAACACACGCAATAATACCGGGTGCAGTTTGAAAGTCACTATCGCCTCAATTCACTTTGAATGCACCAGAATGTTTCAAAACATTAGGAGATTCATGGATTAATTGCAAAAGAAACCATCTGCTATAGAAGGGAGCGAGTTTAATTTAGTGTCCAAAAAACACGTAAAGGTGAGTGGAAGAGAGCAATTTGCTTAAAAGCTTGGAAATAGAGCAGAATTCCAATAAAGTAACAGTCAACCGCAAGGTTTCCTTAAAAAAAATATTTTGGAAAAAAGTTGATATAATTGATCCGCAAGTAACGCAAGCAGCGGATCGCGTCCGTAAGTAACGTAACGGATCCCCAAGTAACGTAACGGATCCGCAAGTAACGCCCAGATATTTTAGGACATCATTTTAGAGACTAAATTAAATAATAAAAGGCTAAACTAATAAAGTTTCTAAACGTTTGGCGAATTTTGCGTGTCTGCGCAAAATCCTACTGCCGATTCCTGGGGTGGAAACATGGATGATTGGACATTGGACAACGAAAATGGACTGTTTTCGAAATGCAGGGCGTCAAAATTTACATTAAAAATTCGAAAAAAATCATTATTTTGTTTGTATCGGGGGTTTCTAGAGGGCGATAAATTATAATCCGTTTTCACACATTTTCTATGCACATCGAAGAGGACGCTTCAGAGATATACGAATCCTAATAAAATGTCCTTTATGGTCTAGTATAACAAATATTTGTGACCAGAGTTGTGTTAGTACACATGTTTTATAAAAAAACGGTCTCTTGGTCGAAGTTTCTACAAGCATTCCTTCTTGACATATTGGAAGTTTAAAGTCCGCCCGATCTGTCATCACAAATTATTGCCGATGAATGAAAGCAGATTGCAGAAGCATTGCAGATTTTGGTCACAACATGTACAGAGTGTCTTCTTAAAAATGGGGCAGATTTTGTCATTTGCAACATTCCTTAGTGCTCTTCATCAAATTATTTAGTCACAATAATTTTGAAGTAGAAAATCTGTTTTTTTTTAATTCGAAGAATTGCCACCTTGTATATACGATTCAGTTTTTCCGCGTTTTAAATAAAATTGTATGTTTAGGTTGAAGATTAAATCGGTTCTAAGGAGAAGGCTTTATGAAAATTGTGATATACAGGGTAAAAAAAATGAATGCAACAAAATGTTGTTGCAATGTTTTTATTTGTTTCTTCTGGTCTTTCTCTTGGAGATTTACATTGTGATCAATTGCTTATTTCTCACATTTTCGCAAAAAGTGATGCAATCATATCGAGACTTGCACGAAAATCTGCAACTTAATTTATGAAGGCCTTGATATTCTTCAGCTAAGTTTTATTAAACGTTCAATTTATTTTTAAGAGAGTGGATTTTTGTCGAAATGTAACGGAAAACAATCCAAAAACACCGATATCCACAAGTAAAAATAGGTTTTTGCGACATATTTCACTCCGTCTGTCTCAAACAGCGTCTCCAATAAATAACAACTGATTTCTGAACTCGCTAAAAACAATTATGGATGCAATTCAAAATTGCAATTGTTTGCTTTCATAGTGGAAAGCTGGATAGTGACTGGATAAACTCACTGCAAGTAGATTAGAGTTTCAACGTCTCAGTTTATAATAAAATAATCATATAATTTGTTTTAATACTAAATTTAGGGCCGACACTTTGTGCCTTGATTGATAACGATTAAGGGTTTGGAGTCTGATGCGTTATAGTGTGATTGCTAAGACACAAAGTTTTGGACCTTGATAGTAAATAATAAAATATAAACAGTCAGTGTTGTGTGGAGTGCAAAAATCAAACCTGATGAGAACATACTGAAAGAAGCGAGCAACAGAAACTTTATTTTCAATTCAGTGTGATATCCAATATACTTACGGAAACGAAAAATATGTTCTAAATATTTAACACAGAACCAAGTTGACTTTTTAGGATAAATTGGTATAGTCTAAGTCAATACACGACAAACTTTTGTAAAATAGAACGTATTTATGTTGTAGCAGGATAAAATTGAAGCTCAATTTACTCGGAAAAGTTGGAAGTAACTCGATTTCTACGTGTTGGTGTAACTGAAATTTTGAATGTTCGGCTTTATCCACATAGGCCTGTCCAGATTTATTAGACTGTCGATGATGAAAGGCGCTAAATTCGAAGAAATTTACTTATTTTCAATTGGAGTACGTTTACAACACCATACAATAGTATTGTGATGACACAAAGGGCTAGATCACATCTCGAGTGATCACAGCATTCGATAATGGGATTTTTGGGGTGATTTTTCTAGCTCTTTGGATATTAATAATCTAAACGCTTTAGAGCGGTCTAACTACAGACTGCGACCAACATTCACAAGAGGCTGTTGCGATATTGTAATATTAGCTGCTAGGGTAAAATTTATATAACGTACTTTAAAATGATTTCGTTTCTTTAATTTTTTTAATTCCTATATTTTGAAGTGTACCCGAGGTGTTTAAATGGGAGAAAACCAATACGAAAAAATCAAATAAATGTGTTTTCATAGTTTCAACGTTATCGTTTTCAAATGTGTAATTTTTATATAAAAAGTTTCCATATAAATGAATATTCAAACCAGACGAGCGCAAGAGCAACAATTTTTTTTACTTTAATTCTGCATTTCCCGCTGAATTTTTTGCAAAACAGTACTTTGCTGCAACAATTATCAACCAAAATTAGACGAAACAACAGTATATTTTGGTTATCATCAACTTTTCTGTTCGTTTTCAAAAAATCTGTGGTTTAGCCTTTCAGGCTTAATTATGCGACGCCTTGGCGACACCCCGGTATAAATCCAAGAAATTTTATAGGATTTATATCTCTTTAATTTTCAATGCGGAATAATTATTATATAAAACACATGTCGGTGTAATGACGCGCTTCAACCAGGATCATCAGGAAATGAAGTAGATTGCATAAGCCACTTTTCTTTGTTGTTTAGTGTTTTTCTTTGTTGTTGCTAATTTAATGTTTTCAAGAAATTATGTTCGCAGTTAAATGGAAAGAAGGTTTTTTACAGAAACGTGCTAATAAACAATAATGAAATAGCAAAAATTAAGGAAATACATAAACTTTATTGCTTTAATAATATCGCAAGCAAACAAATTTATTTGCTCTCGTACATATAAAAATGGATAACTTTTTTTTGTAAAAGTCGTACTGAGACAATGCGATCTCAGGAGACATTGACTTAAAAAAAAACAAACTATAAATAGCGGTTTTTGGTTTCTTTGGGGAGTAATAATGAATTAAAAACCCATAGACTAATACTCAAAAACTTTCAACTAACAAAAGCTGTTCTATTCATTAAAAAAAAACCCTCCGGTACACTTCAAAGCCAGCAGTTATCAAATGAAAATTCAGAATTTGCATGTTTTTATGCCGAGCTTTATTTGACAATTTATTTATTTATATTCGATTGATTCTGAGAAAATGTCGCATCAGAACCATCTTCTGATGTGCTTGGGTTAGTGTTCAATTAATTTCAGATTGAAAATCGAGTTTCTTATTTCAATTTGATCCTTTCGTTTGTGAAAATGTAAGATTTTAAAAGTAAAGCTAATTTATAAAGAAAAAATCTATAATAAGTAGCTTTAATTTTTTGGATAAACAATGCCATGTGAGGACTGGTTGTATTATAAATACCATTAAAGTCAATATAAAAGTAGTTAATAAATGTACGTTTTTGTTTTACTTTTTACGTTTATTTTGTAAAATTAGAAGGCCTTGTTGCGCGTAAGAACGATACTTGAACAAGTCATATTGTATTGCAGGTTAGTAATTATGTGGCTTTGGAAGGAAAACTGCGGAAGTACTTGAAACGGGCTTATGAGCTTTATCCTAAAATGTGCAATAAACCGTTCGCGCTTAGTTTTTCTTCGTAGCTCGTAATGATTTGTAAATAGTTAAATTTGTTCATTAATTTTAAAAACCTTCTCTTGCCAGAGGATAAAGCCCATCTAGTTGTAAGTTGTGTACAAGTATATTGAGTGTTAACTGCGCCGTTAAAAGCGTCTTAACACCCAATAAAAGAAGCATCATGCATTTACTATGTTTTAAATTAATTAATATCGTACTGATTATTTGGTTAAGATCTGACAAAAGTACAACTATTTATTTGTTATATAATTGTCATTTTTATTATTATTTTATGTTTTAGTTTTAATAAAGGTTTCTTTTATGTTTGTTAAACGATTTTAAAGTCGACGTTCCTGATGATCATTTTGAGTATTTCGATTCACATTCTTTAAATTTAGATGTCGTTTGATTGTTTGCAAGCTGTTTTTTCTGGTCATATATATTTATATACAGGGTGTTTATTAGTGGGAAACGGTTTTATGGTGTTTAAACGGTATGAGATGGGCAGAAAATAAAAATCCCGTGTGTTCTTAATTTTGCAATTGTCTGTGCTAATATTTGTTTAAATGGCACGCGCAACAATTTTTTATTTTTGAACAAAGTTTAAATCATTTGACACCCCAAAGTCGACCGTTGTAATGAGTGCTTATAAACGTATCTTGTTAGAAACCATAACAAATAAAATCTTTAATTTTTATTTGGCTTATGGAGGAAGAAGTGGGCTTACTTGATCTGGCTTCAGAGTTCAAAGGCTACTCAGTTCCATTTTCTACAAATTATCAAACTTGAAACATTTAAATTGACTAAACTATTTTTCATTTGGCGTGTTATAGTTATTATCAACGAATGCAGTAGAATGCCAAACAAATTCCAGTAACAAAATTTCGGATTTCACTTAAAAATTTAGTTTTAGTCAAATGAGAGACTTTGACCGTTTGCATAAAACGCATCTGAGTAACTAATGAAACTTTGAAATGAAAACAATGGACCACATTTCTTGCTCTAAAGGCCGAGGATAAAAGCGGGTTACCATCTCTTACCGTTTATGAGAAGTTAGCTTCCAAAATACCCGTTGCAACGGAAAAAATTGGCGGTTAACTAGACGAACAAATCGTCGACTAGAGAGCCTCAAAGGATTGCAAATTTAGCGCAGAATTCAGAAATGAAGAGAAAATTTGGATGTATTTTTTATGTTTGTAGTGCTTTTATGAGACCTACCCTGACGTGGCAAAATTAACAAATACTTCCTACTAATGAAACCCCCTATATAAATTTGTCAAACTTTTTCTTAGCCTTTAACTTTCGTATCTGTTAATTTGTTTTTTTTATGTATGCCAAATTACTGAAATGCTTAGATCAGGAACTAAAACTACGATTCTGAAAGTGTTGCATGCAGTAGATGCCGTTTCAATAGTTGTAAAGGCGAATGATCAAAATACAATGTACATTGTTGAAATACAGGATCTTTAATATTGAAGGACAGCAAGTTGAAGAGTTTATTCGATTTTATCGTCCATGTGCTTTGTATGTTGTTTGTCACCATATGAGTTATTTTATAACAATGCACATACACATACAATAAGTGGCGTCAATAACTATTCTATAGAGAAACTGGAAAGGAATGAAGTCTTCAACTTTTTGTGTTTGCATAGTTTATAGCTATCATTTCCATGCACTTATTAGGAAGTGGATTATTAATTTTTAGATATTATTTACACGTTTGAACTGTTTTCGCATTGCCCACCAAACTGCTAATTTAAAGTAACTGCCTATAGGCTCATAAGCGGGATTTTGTAAAGTTGGCACAATTTAAAAAATCTGATGCGAAAATTCAATTTAATTTTCACTTGGCATTTTTTCAATTTTGGTAGTGGCTTCGAACGAATAATTCTGAAGTTTTGATTGCGAGTTTTGATGGGTTTCTTGCCATCTTTACAAAAATCCTTTGCTAGAACGAAAATCGACAATTTTTCCTAAATTCTAAAATACCAACAACTACTTTGCACTCTTCAGTTCCATTTCCATACAAAATTTGGTACGGTTTGTCTTCGGTTCGTTTGATGCGCAATGAGAGTCCAGAATGATTCAGTTGTTACTATGTAACTATTGCTGTAAAAAAACGCATCTACACTTGAATAAGATTTACAAATAAAGTTGCGATCTCATAATAATTGAGTTTTAATTTAGGAAAAAATATTTCCACCAATTACGCGATCAGATGGGTAAGTCAGCGGCTTATTCTTGTATAGTCCGCAGGCCAATGTACTGCTACAGCATAGTACAGGCGCTTATATTAGTTTATTTTAATGAAATTTCGGGTCGCAACCGTGTTCAATTTCATTAACTGCCAGAAAAGTAATGGAGGCATTTTTTAAATTTTTGTTTGAGTTTTTACAACTGTACAGGGTGAGCCATAAATAGGGGTACAAACTTTTGCAGCAGATGCTACGATAAAAAATTATGTTAGTATGGCAAATGAGGCCTAAAATGATTCGTTTCGAAACTACAGGATTTTTAAGGATTTACTGGAAAAAAAATTGAGAAACGTGCGGGGATATTAAAATAAATTTTAATTTTAGCTTTTCCAGTGGCGTTTATGCAGTAAACGCTGTTTAAAACTTCAAAGAAAAATCGTGTTCTTGTCCAACTTTTTTCATCTTTAAACATTTGTTTGCTCTATTGAAAAATCAAAAAATCAATGCGTGCGCTTGATAGTCAGGTCCACATTAGCATTGAAATGGTAATTCTGAACCATTAAAAATAATCTTATCTATTACTGTTGTGCAGTTTTGCAACTTTTAATGTGTAAAATTTTCCTATTTTTCTAATGTTTATTATTTCCAATACAATTACGTCTGAAAATTGTGCAACTCTTGAAAAACATCTACGAAGAAATCGAAAGGTTATCGAGATTTTAAGAAGCAAAACAGGTAGGTAAACTGACATTATGCTAAAATTGAATTTTACGCATTACGATAAATCCAACAGCCATAATAATAGAGCTGATATTCAATCTTTAATCCTGAACCATAATTGAGGCGATTCTTTATTCGCAGATGAATGAATCATCATGGAACAAAGGCTGGGAATGTCGTGGCGGGCTTAGTTTACAGTCTACGGCCTGACGTTCACATAGTAGGCGATGAACTCGCGAACTTTTCAGTACATCTGCACTAAGGCTCCGGCTTTGCTCGATACACTATTTGACGCGACGTTGCCGGATTTCCCAGTGTATTTTCAGGAGATTATGCACAGGAACAGCTGATTGATGACTCATGCTTCAAAGATGAATTACCTGATGAATGGCCTAATTAAAAATATATATATGTAGTTTTAAAGAGTAGTGTACCTTTTCCAGTTTCTTTCAGAAAAATCTCTGCTGTTTCCAGCTTTGTATTGTCAGACATCGGAAATATTCGGCTCCCTTCGGACGTTCCGATTCAATTCGAGGGTCCGCCCACATGAAGTTTAGGCTGTGACTTGTGACAAATAAAAGGGCTTTGACAATATGATGATTACATTAGTCCAGATTATTTTAGTTTGAAAAAAGGGCGGATTTTTAAAAAGGCATCAAATGTTCAGCTCTGGGTTGTTGGGGAACAGCTGCTTCATTCCATAGACAAAAACGGTTGAAAAAATATCTGAAAAGGTCTGGAAAGAGCAATGTATTTTGCCCTAGAATAATCAGACCTGCAGAGGACGTAAAATAAAATGTGGAGAATTGTTGTCATAAAACCTGAAAACTGCATCACGATTTGGCGACGTGGCGGGCACTTACGCAAGCGCCTACTAAACCGCATGTCGTCAGATCGTGCAGCTCGACGTCGAGTTAGTAAAGAAATACGGATGCAACTCGCAACTGTACGGTATAGTCCGAGTCCGAGTCCGAATACGAATAAAACTCAGGAAGCAGACAATTCGTCGCAGGTTAAGTGACATAATCTGTGATTCGCCTAGTGACGTTCTCATTTATTTTAACTGTTTGTCAATTTTTTTTCTTTTGTTCGGCGTGGGTGGTTTTGTCTTTTTGGACTTTCCTTTATTCGGTTTTTTGTTCATTTTTCAAAGACAGTCTAGTCTGTCGGCAGTTTTACTGCGGTAAGTTGATATTTTGCAGTTTTCTAGTTGGAAGTATTGATTTAATTGAAATCCAGCTGAAAGTATTGTTTTAGGCAAAGACTTCCTTTAATGGGGTGAGCACACCTTTGCCATTGTGTGAAATGTTTGAATGAAATTATACTTTATTATATTAAAATATTGTTTATTATGTTAAATATTATGTATGTGTATATGTGAAGTTATTGTTTTGCCAAAAATACCTTAAACACTTCCTGATCTAGACTTGACGAAAATGTTATATTTTATTCTTAAGAGACCTTTTTCATCTATCACCTATGGGTCGAAAGCAAATCGCAATTGATTTATCAACAGGAAACATGAATAATAAATGAATAAAACAGCAAAATGTTTTAACAGAGATAAAAAATTCGGAAAAGAAATTACGGAGCAAAAATGTTTGTCGAAACAAGGTTTTCCAAAAAATAATCCAAAACGATTATAGTTGATATATGAGTTGAGAGGACGAAAATCCTTAATAATTACAATGGTAAAAATAAATTAGAGCGTACTTGAAAATATTGATTCAATTTTCCATAAGTACATAGATAATGATAGAAATTACTGTGTAACTTTGTAAATCAAGTACCAGAAACCTGCTAATCAATTTATTGATTTAAAATCTAAAATCGCATTCCTACCAAGTGAAAGAGGTCTTTGCTCCATCCACGGTCGAATGCTTTGGGTAGATCAAGCAATCCTGCGGTTTCAAAAGTTTTACATTAATTACCCGGCAATTGTGGGAGCGATTTAAACATCAAATTTGCCTTGCAATATCAAAGCCATTGTTTAACTTTCTAACTAGTGTGCATGTGTGAAAGTAAACCACTTTGAAGGGGACAATTGCTTATTTTCGCTTACACTGCTGGTTAGCTTGTTAGATTTATTGGCAGTTTTCTGCAATTTTTTTACAAATTAAGGTGTGAAAATGCAGCTTTTGGCTAGTAACCAGCCTGAAAATCAATAAAACAGGTTTTCTAGGTTTGTCTAGCTTATTGCTAAGTCAACAGAATAAATCTGAAAGTCAAGGCTTTCATGTTAATGTCCACCAACTTTGAGTCTATTTTGCCGGTGAAATAACCAAACTTCTAATATACGCAGATGATTTGGAAGGCTCATTAATCTATGTAACTCCTGGGTAGATCCCATTAAGACTGAAATTGTGGCGTTATTTTGCATATAAACCGCAAATATGTTTTAAAAAGCCTACAGGCACCAATAATGGATGAATAAATGTTCGGTTGTGTGTTCATCTTCTTATACATACAGGTTTAAATTTACGCGAGAACAAAGCAATTCAACAATATTTCAATAATAATTTAATGTGATGATTTAAGCAGCTAAAGCTGATATTAACTGCTGGTATGATCATAATAACATCTCATCCGGCGACTATTCAAGCGGACATTCACTGAATTTAAAGACCCAATTAACCACAGCAGACGCACTCAGCTGACCTGTTTTCTTTTTCATTGAAATTAACAACATTTTTTAATAAAGCAAATTCTCTATGCGATTCAAGTTTTAAACAAACCATGAACCCTGATCGTTGGAATCAAAGCTTCATGGCAATGGGTTGGTTTTATGGTATACTACGAACGACATTTGCTAAGGTTAGCGATTGTTTTAATTAGTAATTATTGGTTTAATATGCTCGTCGAGTGTACGGATATTAAACTATAAAAGGACGGTAATGGACGAAAGGTCTTTGTTTGGAGTGCCATTGAAGTTTGATGCAGGGAACGTGAACTATGTGTGATAACGGAACGTTTTGCATAGAATTGTAGTTAAAGTTTATTTAAAAACAAATGCGTTTTAAGTTTGTTTGGATTTCCCAAAACAATGTTGGACAGAAGCGCAAAAGTTTATTTGGAAATGTAGATAAACCGCTGTTTATATCGGTAGAACGAATCTTTATTCCATAGGATGAGGCTATCGACCTAGTCGGTCTTTCTGCTTGGAGAAGAAGCGTATGCACATATCTTAAAATTAAATTTTCATATACATTATTTAAACATTAGGGGGTTTAAGCAAACCAAATATGAGAAATGTCTATTAAAACGCCCAAAAAGGAATTTAAGTTGCCATTGTTCAATTTTTGAAATCCTTAAGGTGCAATTTTCTTTGCTTAAACCACGCAGTTTAAACTTATGGCAAATTATGTGGATAAATACGCGACATCATCGGGTTGTAAAAAATAAATTGTTTAAGTGAAACTGTATGTTCATTAAAAAATGTGGGTAAAACAAGAAATGCCTGAAAACCGTGAAAAAGCAAAGGCTCGGTTTTGAAAAGTTTGCTTGGAAAATGGAAAATTCTTCAGATAAACCGGGAAACCAAAAAGTTATCTAAATTTGCTCTTTGAGCAGAATGTATTCATATAATTCAGTTATTAGTATATAAACCTGCAAGTGCGTTGAGGGTGTTCAGAAAAAGCAATATTTGTAGAGAATTTCTTAACAGGAAAATCCGCATTTTTTATTTTTATATCTTTCTGGGTTGGCTTTTTGTCTGCTTTAGGAGATCCATCACTGAAACTATTTTTACTAGAAAAACTAATAGTCTTGGTTTGTTCAAAGGTCAAATTTTGTGTTTCTATACAAAACATTGTAGCAATAACGGGGAATTTCACACAAATCTAAATGTGCACTCGATCGCATTTTTCCAGTTTGTCGAAAAAACTGTCGTTTATTGAAAAAGTTTCAAGAGACAAAAAACTGCTGAGAGAGACTGTCGTTTTTAGATCAGAAAAGGTCCTTAGCCGGAAAAACCGTTTACGCACCAAACACTTTTCACATCAAAGGAACCCAATTTGTGATTCTCGTACAACTCTAAAGCCAAATGTTCAATTACAAATTAGGACGCTATTTGCAATTTTTTTTTTCCACTTTTGATTTTTTGATCCCTTGCTCAACTCAGTGTAAACGAAATAGAAGAAGCCTTATTAAACGTTAAAGCCCAGACAACGGCAATATTATGCGACTTGCTAATGAGCATCAAGTGGCCCCAACTTATCTAATTTAAAATGTGCAGATGTGTCTTGGCGAAAATAGTCTTCAGTCTGGTGGGCGTTAATTACATTTTATTGGGCTACTTAAAATAAGAACGGCAATAAACAAGTCGTTGTATTAAAGCATTCATGAACACCGAGTGTTTTGCGATTGAATAAAACCAAACATGCCTTAGTGCTCAAGAATTTTCAAAAAATCACTACTTCTCTGTATTGATGCTTCAGAAAATGATTCACTTGACCGCTAAAGTACAGTTCAAATTAACTTTTTTTGTCACAATGCACAAAGTGCGTGTTGTCCCCGAGGTTTGATAGTGTTATCACTGCACTTTGGACATGAACAAGTTTTCGGTAATTTTTCACTTTGTAGTAGTGAACAACAAAGATAAAGGAACATATTACTTGATCAGTAGTTCTAGGAAATCACACAATTTTTAGTTTCACACAGTTTCCGCGACAATCTACTTTCTTTTAAAGTACCTGCTTTGGTGTTATTTCATGTTTTCTTTGACTGCTTTTTCTTCCTTCTTCCTACTATCTTTGATAACGAAATAACTTTCACTTGTTTTTTACTATTTATTTTGCGGCCATCCAACTGGTTGTAAATACTGTTCCTCTATAATTATTACATAATACTCAATTTCCTCATTTGTAGACCAATTTGATTATATTTTCTTCTCAGTTTCTGATTTTTCATGCTCCTTTAACACTTCGATTAGCATATTATATCTCTTTAATCCCAGTTTTACAAACACGTCAGCTTTAATGCTACCCCGGCTTCAACATTTTCGACGCTTCTCTTCTCAAACTCCTTCCATTTTTGGTCCTATTTTCTTCTTGTTGCCTGTCTTCTGTTTCTTGTTCAATTTCTTCGTTTTGGCGTGCGGGGCATTATTCTCCTTTGCTCTAAAATTAGAGGTTGTTTTCCATATTAAAAGAGTTACTCCAGTTCTAATCTCTTAATTTTATTATTGGGGTTTTTGCTTTACAATAACTTGACGCGTATTTTGCAGTTGTATTATGTTGAGTCAAATGCTTTTTCCTTGTGTTTTTGCTTCTGGTACGGTTTACAATCTTTCTCCATCTTCTAAAATTTCCCATATCAACTTTTGCTCCTACGTTTTAATGAAATTTGCTCTTTTCTTTGTCTTGTAAAGTTTTCATAATTGTCTTGTTATATTTTTGCTTCACTCTCTTTAATGTCTTAAAACAAAAATGTCACATTGGTAAAGTGAAAGCAGGTTCGTTTCAGTGAATTAAGAATGCTGAGCTTTCTGAGCAATAAATTGATCATCATAAGCAAAACAAGCAATAAAAACCTTAACTTTCCTCTTTGAGTCGGGAACATACAACGGAACTTGATTGGAAAATCTTGGGAATTTGCATGGATTTTATTTTTTACACCGACAAATCATGAACTAAATTATCCATTATTCGTCAAGTGTTTTTGTAGTTGCAATTGCGAGAATGAAATTGATAAAACCTGTTGTAGACAAAGGTGCCTTCTAGTCCGAACGCAGCTTCAGGTTGGGTTCAGTTGAAGTTGAAGCTTTCATTGTATCACCGGGCTTAAGAGGCGCATCATCGACTTGGAAATGAGGAAACAAGATTCTATGAGCAAAGAAGACTTTCGTTTCGCTTTTTCATTTTTTTTCTGTTTGAAACATTTTTCACTCTAACCATCACGATCTCCTTGATTTGATAACTTAAAATTGATTGTCCTCGCAAAATAGAGGAAAGTTTTCATGTAATAGTTTTTCCAAATTGCACATTTTCTGGTGAGTTTGCTTTTGACCCAAACGGACTTCACATGCAAATCAATCCAGTTTCCAATGTCGATGTGATGTTGAAGAAAACGGTTTCCCAATTTCGTTTTAGACTGTTCATTTTCATGTGAGTAAAACGCTGTTTTCGTGGCCTTTCTGTTGGATAAAACAGGCGAATTTCGTTTTATTGCAGGTAAAAATAGGTA